CCAGAGAATGAATAATCACAAGAAACTGGCTTAAGCAGCTCCCTGGATCTGGTGCATGATTTCGATTGAGTTTGATTTGATTTAATTTTTTTATTTTTGTTTATATTTTTTTCCCCAAGTCATCGTTCGCATTTTATTTTCTGCATTTCTTCCTTCTTTTTTTTTTTTTTTTTTTTTTTTCACCTTTTGGGAGATTTGCAAACCGAATTACATGCATGTCCAGTGGGGGAAGGTTTAATTTTGACGATGGAGGGTCGTACTGTGGAGGCTGGGAGGACGGAAAGGCTCATGGCCATGGAATCTGTACCGGCCCGAAGGGTCAAGGTGAATATTCGGGCTCCTGGAGTCACGGCTTTGAGGTGCTGGGGGTCTACACTTGGCCCAGTGGCAACACTTACCAGGGCACCTGGGCGCAGGGCAAGCGCCATGGCATTGGCATGGAGAGCAAAGGGAAGTGGGTGTACAAAGGAGAGTGGACCCATGGATTTAAGGGACGGTACGGGGTCCGAGAATGCACTGGAAACGGGGCCAAGTACGAAGGCACCTGGAGCAATGGATTACAGGATGGCTACGGGACAGAGACCTACTCGGATGGAGGTAGGTGCCCGTTGATCCCTTCCTGGGGTGGTGATGGGGTAAAAACCTCCAAGCAGGAACCCTGGGTTTAGGTTGGAGTCTGGGAGTTTGCAACCTGCTGGCTTGGAGCGAGGGATGCTCCCACCCTGCAGGAAACAAGGAACCAGCCCAGCGTGGCACCAGCCCAGCTCTTTGCCACAGGTAGCCCCATATGTCCAGCGGGTCTCTGGGCAGCGGGTCCTCCCCCCTTCCTGTCCTTAACCAGGTTTTTGGGAGGGGAACTGGCTGTGCTGGTGGGGGTACGCCCAGCTCTAGCCCCAGAGGGGTCAGAGGATGGGGTGGGCCAAGCCTTGGGGTGACAACCCAAGTTGCACATGGCAGTTCTGACTGCACCACTGGAACCTGTAGGATTTGCATGGAAGCAACGCGGGGCAGGATGGAGGCGAAGTGTGCGTGGGGGATCCAGGGCAGATGGGGGCAGCTCCAGTGCTGCCACTGCTTCCAACGAGGGGCCTGGGCCTTTGCACGTCTCCCACCCCCTCCAAAGGAAGCCCCACACTTAATAATACCAGGGAAAAGACTTTAATTCAGACAAGAGTCTTACATTCCTAGTTTACGGCTTAATGCTTAGCGTAGGGGCTCAGAGGGATCACCAGAGCTATTCTCTGCCGTCAACGCGGCTTAACGAGATGCTGAGGGGAAACTGGGATTAGATAAAAAACAAGAAAACCCAATTGGAGCGATCAACCCCCCAAAAAATTGCTGGACTAACAAGCTTTAAGGCTGAACTAGGAGAAACAGCTGGTGCTGTGCTGTAAGTGGCTGTATCATCCTCTCGCACGGTTTGTGGCTACTTCCATCGGAATTGCCTCCATAATCCCAGGCAGGCCTACCTGCCGGCAGCCGGGGGCATCCAGCACCACTGCCCCCTTGTTTTCCTGGGAATCGTGGCCGTCCAAAGCAGGCTCACCCATTATTTTTAAGATGTTTCAGTTGTCCATACTGAGGAAATTGCAGTGTTGGTGAGCTCCATCACAGCCCTTCCTGAAAGGTGCTGCAAGACCTTTCTCTGGAAAACCCAGTTTGCTGCTTTGTGGTTGTACAGGGAGGAGAGGTTAAACCTCACCTGCAGCTGCTTTTTCATGCTCTAGAAGGGAGAGGCGCAACCGTCTCTGGATTTTTAATGGTAATTTTGTGCTGGTGGCTTTGTCCTAAGGGAAAATAGAGCTGCAACCTTTTGTTTCAGCTGCATGGAATGATGCTGGGGTCTGAGCTGGAGTCTGCCGGGTGTGTGTTTGGAAGGCACCGATAAATCCCAGCAGTCCTTCAGTCGAGGATAAAGCTTGAGCAGGGAATGATTGCAGTCTCCCACGTTCAAGGCAGTCAGGAGGGGCTGTGGGGGGTTTCTGTGTGCTCCCAACGTGGGTGCTGTCTCCTCCTGGCACCCAGCCCTTGCCTGAGAGGTTTGTGGGAGGACAGACAGAAGTCTGGACAAACTACAGGTCTCTGAGGGCTGGGTGTTGCAGGGCTGGCCCTTCCTCGGCCATGCATGTGCCCCCACCCTGCCCCGTCCCCACCCTCTACAGGGCAGTGTTTTTTGGGAAAACATGGGGAACATTCCCACACTGGAGTGGCAAAGCAGCAGTTTCCGTGTTTTCTGAGAACCTACCAGAAGGAAAGAGCTTTTTCTTCCATCTTGTCAGGCCAACTCGCCTTCCCGGTGCTTGGGGACTGATATCATGTGTTTGTGATTTCAGGAGGAGGGAAGAGGATCAGTGTGGGGAAAGGGCACAGTGTTTGTGGCAAAATGGTCCCCCTGGGACTCTCAAACCCTCTGAGGAGGAAGGGACGCTGTGCTGGGGAAATGCAAAGCCATGGGACCTGCAGACACCCCAAAAGGCTCCTCCACACCAGGTTCCCCCATCCCAGTTGGACCAGAACCCAGCTGGAATGTCACTTCCACCAACTCAGCTCCAAGCACCCAGAAGCCATATCCCTTTCCTGGTTGCCTGGCTCCATTGTGGGTAAAAAACACCAAAGTTGGGTATCACCAGCTTTTTGGGCACCAAACCTCACTGAACTTTGTGTGTTTGGATCCCAGAGGCCGCTGAGTGCGGGAGCAGTGCTGGGTGGCACCGGGGAGGCAACTGTTGGGAAGGATGTTTCTCATTAATCCCTTCAAGTTATTACCTCCATCAAACTGAAGTATCCAAGAATCCTCGCCCCAGCATCTGTCACTTGCCACCCACAGATAAATATTCATCCCTTGCACATTATTTTTTTTTTAGCTCCTCAGCCATGGCTGAGGGGCTGGGTCCCCAAATGCGCAGCAAGGCTCGGGAAGCGAGATGCCCCAGAATCCATGGATTCACTCCAATTTTACCATTCCCTTGCACAACAGTGGGTAAGGGCACATCTCCAGTGCTATCTTGGGGAGCAACATTTTTGATGGGCAAGAACTGATGTGTTGGGCGGAGGGGACGGCAGGTGGTGGCCTGGGCCACGTTGTCACCCCCCCGTCCCCTGAGTGCCATCCCCCACCCCGCCGGGCGCCCGCACTGCCCCACACACCCCCAGGGGGAGGCAGCGCTTCCCCCAGGCACAGCTTGCAGCTCTCACACCTCCCACGCCGCACGCCGGGCACACACACGCCTCTCCTCCCCACGCCACGCCGCCGCCTCGCCCCCTGCTCCCCTTCCCACACACACGTGGTCGGCCCCCAGCGCTCCCTGACCCCTGCACGCACCAGGGAAATGCAAACCGTGTTCCCTGAGCTGTGTGGGTTTGTGTCCATCAACACAGACCTACTGCAGAGCCCACATAAGCAAACAGAGCCTCGCTACTCTCCCAGAAGCCCAGGCTCTGCCGAACCTTCCCCGGCATGCCTGACCCACAGCCCCACACCTGTGGCACCGTCCTGTTGTTCCCTGTACGCACTCACCCCCTCAGACCTCCCCAAACCACAATGCTGCTGGCATGTCCTTATATTTTTGCCAAAAAAATCCCTGCTACCTCCTGCCCCCCTCCAGAAGCACCCTGATATTACATAAACCAGGCTCCCGAGGACTGCTTCAGTCGGATGCTAGAGTTGCACCGCTCATTTGCTGGGTCTGATTCATCCCAGCTCCAGAGTGGGAGCAGGATTGCTCCCTTGCTTCAGGTGAAAGGGGCTGCATCCACCTGGATCATCCCTGGATCAGATATGAGCTGGAGCCGCTCCCAGCAGAGCTGGTGGAACCTGTCCAGGGCAGAGGATTGGAGACCCTCTTTTGAGCAGATCTGGAGATCTGGACACATCTCAGCTGGTACTTTCTGTACCTCCTTGGACACTTCGGGAATGCTCAGTGATTTCACCCTGGGAACAGTTGGAATTGTAGCTACAGGCTTCCCATGGGAATCCTCGGGCTCTGCATTGGGTTTGGGTTTAGCTGCTGAAACCGTGGTTGTGGGGGTGGATGAAGGAAGAAGCCCCAAATCAGGGTTTTGCCCTTTCCATCCCTGCCAACTCAGTTTTTCTCCTCCTTCCACCTCTTTCCAGTGGAGCATCTGGGATTCAAGACTGGGCAGGGCCTCAGGAAGGGGACCAACCCTATCCCAGGTGCTCAGTTTCCAGCAGCCCTGAGGGAATGTCTCAGACTGGAGGTGTCTGCTACGAACCAGGGCCCTGCTGGATCTGTCCTGCCGCCACCCCTCTCCCAATCTGAATCTCCCATGCTCCCCAAATCCTTGTTCCTCACGAGGGCTACCCCGAAAGGGCCGGGTGGTCGCACCGTGGTGTTCATCTTGTGTAATGCTCTGTGCCCACTCACCTCAATGAATCATCCCTTTGATAGGTGAGGGAAATATAATTAGTGTTTGCATTGTTAGCGTCGCCTGAGTAGGCAAGTGGGTTTTCTTGGCCCGGGCTGGGAAATTTTCCTGCACTGGGGAGAGGGAAGGGGAGCAGTGGGAGCCACTGGGTGGGTCCCTCGCAGCCTATCTCGCCCGGGCAGGAGCCGTGGTGTCTCCATGTCCCACTTTCCCACCTCTGCAGCGACACCAGTGACACCTCTCTTGGCAGGTGCACCAGGAGCTACCAACCAAATGGCTTTGGGATGGTTGAGGAGGTGTAAAACCTGAAACACTTTGCAAAAGCAGATCCCTTGCCAGTGTAAAGGGCTGCTCCGGGGGGATGAACTGGGAATGCTGTGTCTGGGAAGGGGCCGCAGCCCCTCACCCGAGCTGAGATGTGGTTTGGGAGGAACCGCCCCCAGCCAGTGCTGCAGGGTTGGAACAGGATGATCTTTAAGGTCTCTTCCAACCCAAACCAGTCTGAGATTCCATGATCCAGTGACACCATGGCAGCGGCCTCGTGCCTCTCACCATACCAGCATTTTCCTGGATTCCTGTGCAGGGAACCAACAAGCGAGGGCAAATTTCCATAAGGATCTATTCATAGCACGGATGTCAGAATTACCTTAAAAGTACCAGCTCTTCTCTTGTTTTGCTGTCGGGAAGGAATTGTTGATGCACTTCAAATAGTGGGCGGAAACAAGCAAATACAAATGCGCCCTGATCCTCGATCCCAGTTCCTGCAGGATCCAGACACAGCCATAGCTGGTCCTATCAAACCCCTCAGAACCTGAAAATTATTAAAAAAACTCAGGACTTTGTTGGTGAAGCATCTGGCTGTCTAGATTCGGTACGGAAGCTGCCCACAGTGGTTCTAGGAGGGCAGATCCGGAGACATCAAGACCTGCTGAGCACAGAAAAATGAATCAAAATACTAAATGAAGATTCTGACCAGCCTCATTAAAAAGAAATGATATGAACTCATGGTAATTACTTATCTCACTGGAACATGCTGCTTAGTTTCAGGTACAGCTCAGGACAGAGGAAGAAGGATTTTGACCCTGGGGAAAAGTACATGAGATAGAAATTGCCAGACAGGCTTCAGACCGTCACTCCATCTTCCCAAGTATTTTATCCAGCACTAGTGGATGATGAAGGACCCCAACTTTGGGACCCCCCTCAGACACCTC